TAAACCCTAAACCCTAAAGGCCGGAAGAGAGCTTGCCAGCTCTGGTCATCAGCGGCAAGGAACCCGAGGTCTCCTCGCAGGCTCCCTTGACTTCTTTCTTTTGGGTGAATAGGATTTAATGGTTAGAATAGGGTTCTCGAGTATGTTATTGTTTTTGAAAAAGGCTGAGGCCCGGGCTACCTTTGGGGTTTACGCTTGGGGTAGATTCAGACGACAGTCAGACGCCTCGATTGCCCTGTAAAGCCGCCATAAATTCCATCCGAAGCCGCGACTTAAAACCGTGCTTTGCGACCTCTGTTCTGCACCTACCGCGGTGGTCGGCAGGGAGTACAAACAGTACGAAGGATGACCGTAAATCCTGAAGCCTTATTCTGGACCCTTCAAAGTAATCCTTATCAGCCTGAACCCAATCCCGCGGAGGACTCCCAGTCAGGTGGTAAAGTTGATGCCTCGCAGCTCGCCGCCAAAGCTCGCGAGGCCAGAAGGGCCGACAAACGGAAGCCCCGAAAGCTAGGAGTACCTTTTGGCTTGTTTAGCTTTTAGGAACTAGTGCTTTACGCTGGATTTTGGGAGCAAAGGTTTCGGGCGATGTTGGGTCGTTGTTCCGTCTGGGGGAATTTGCCATGTTTCGACGCAGATGTACACGACTAAAACCAGCAGCTCCCGGACTCTCAGTTCAGCTATATGGTGAGTCTATTTCTTAGTCTCTGTGTTTTTGCTCGAAGTCTATCTCTCTCGCGCTCTCTGTCCCTCCCTCGCTCCCTCTCTGCAGGAGATCCTTCATGTACGACTGTGAGTCTGTGTGCGTGTGTGTATGAACGTCTCTTAAACGAAGGCCTGCGAGGATTAAGCTCCAAGTGCTCATCCGAGCTTGATCTCACCATTCGCGGCGGTCGTAAGATAGCAGACATCACCCGGGTCTTCTTCATGCTCACCCCTGACCTGCGCACGCTAGCATGCGCTTCAACTGGACAGGAGATGACGAGCAACACGCACCTGTCCAAACTGGTGCCATGCGTGCGGGCGCATCTGGGTGCCATCGGAGCGTCCGGCACCCAGAAACGTCCAAACCGCACTGACTTATTTATGATGTGTGCTGTCACAGTATCATACTGTTGTCATTATCATGATTGGTATTGTTAGTTAATATTAGTACTATGGTTAGTATGGTTATGATGATTGTGGTTATTGTTGTTCCTAATTAAAGAAGGATCAATACTTTCATGATGGGTAATATTATCATGATAGGTTTGCCAGGTGGATGTTCCGAGCCAGATGATCGAGGGACAGACATTGGACGTCGCGTACATGAAGTCAGACGATTGGCACGTGCACATTATTTTCATCGAGTGATCGTGAATGTCGACAGCGTTTCAGTTCGCAAAAGTCCGGAATGATAGCGCCGGCGTAAACAACAACAATCATTGCCATGGCGCGTTGTGCCCCGGATGTGAGTCGAGACATAAGGTCTATCGTCGTCGAGGGGCAGAAGAACAAACACTTCCACGGCAGGCGCGCTTGGGCCGGTAGCGAGGCCATTCCCCTGGCAAGTGTAAGAGGGAATGGATGGAACTCAAGGCATAGTTGATACATGTATGTACAAATAGATACATGCATATACATATGTGCAAATACATACATAAATAAATAAATATATATATATATTATGTATTATATATATGTATATATATACATGTATATATATATATATGTATATATGTACTATATACAGTTATATATTGGTATGTTTTAGCATCGTTTTCAACACAGTTTCCACAGGGCCCCTTCAGCCCCGAGGAACTACACCCCGAACCGCATCCCAATGCTTCAGGAAGCAAGTTGCCACTTTGGCCGAAGATGTGACCACAGCCCTGACACTCTGCAAGGAGGCCGGATCCACACGTTTGAAAACACATGTTCGGGGCTGGATGACGAGCGGGCATGTCGGGTGCAGCACCAGAAGCAGGCTGTACGCGAACACATGAGTTGTAGAACGGTATCTTATGATAGCAACCGTGGTTCTTCTCACAGACCTGCTTCTTGTCACCATACCGTTGTCATCATGCGATACTTAAATCTGAAACGGGCATTAGCACTCGGAGGAATTTCAGTGCTTTAGAAAGCAACCCGTTCGTCGCCCGATGTACTCATACTGTAGCAGGCAGAGGCAATACAACACGAATCTTCAGCAACCGTGCCACTCCGAGTCTTCTTGAACAACTTGTGGGATCCAGGTAATACCAGCTACATCTACCCCTCTGGCAATGTGTGAACGCAGTTTCGATCTCCGTCGTTGCTTTACCTCCTCTCTGCAAGATATCTCCGGAAGCAGATGTTCTTGCAACCATGACTCCCTGTCTCCCTAAAGTTCCCTCAGGATTCGCGTCGGGTCTGTATCCCAAACTCTGAACCCTAAACCCCGATTGATACTGATAACAATGATAGTACTAATAATGAATGACAAAGCTATTTTCTTTGATCATGTTCCGGTCCATCATCGATAGCTTACCAGGTCGGTGAGGTCCCAAACGCCGATGATGTCCCGGGCATCTGCGAAGCCGTAGTGCGCGCAGCCCTGGGGGACCCGGCAGAGCGCTTTTATCGATGCCGGTCTTGCGAATTGAGGGTGTTGTGTTTCTATATGTTTTCAGGGTTTGGGGTTTAGGGTTTTGAGGGTGTTGTATTTCTATAATTATTGGTTTCAGGGGTTTGGGGGAACTTGGGGTTGTAGGGGTTTGGGATTTCGGGGTGCAGAGGATTCTAGGCCGATTGCCAGGGAAGTCACTCTCTTCTGGTTCTTGACCGTTCCGGTTTTCCTGTGGCCTTACTTCAGAATTTTGGATATCATCACTGCGTTATCTAGTCAGCTAACCTTACTCTTCTTGATTGTCTGCTGCTGGCATCGCTGCTTGCTTTACGATCGCCCCTCGCCCGATGCTGCTGAGTATTCATTATTTTTTGATCCTTGTTTCTTTTGGTAACGGCCTTTCCTGTGTGGAATGCCACTACTTGTCGCGTGCTGTGTTCTTTGGCAATTCGTCAATGTTGTTTTTTTCAACAACTCCTCGCACGACGGCTGTTCTGCAACAAGTCGCGGGCCCGAAGGTGTGAAGCCTGAAGCCTCGCAGCCCGGCCCAACGCACTCAGCTGTGAGCTACCGGTGTGGGCAACATTCTTAACAGCCTCAATGCCAGGGGTATTTGTGGCGCTGATCGCATTCAGATAGTTCGGTGGTCCAGAGGTCCAGAACTCCCCCGTTCAGGCAGAGGCACTTCATGAGATAGATAGTGCTCAGTTCTGAGTTGCTGTGGACAGTCGCCGAAAAATCTTGCGGACAGCTGCGAACTGTTGAAAGCAGGACGCGTTCGATGCCCACGCTGACGGAGGCGACGATGATGATGAAATGTTGTGTGGAACTCAGACAACCTGCTGTTCGCCCTCAAGATTCAAACGGGCTTCACAAAGTGTCAAGGCTGAAGTTTCGCCCGCACTCGTGGTGTCAGGCTTCGAGTAGAGAACCTGCTCCTGATGTATGGTGCGGGGCACTTGTTGCTCAAGGACTGGGCTGCAGGTGTGGCTGCGTTTCGTTGCAGATCTTGGCAGCCTCTCGATGTTTCGGGACTTTCGTGCTGCAGCTTGTGTTTTGTCTTGCGCAGGACACCACGCTGGAGATGCGGAAGAATTGCCGGTATGGTGTGGTAGGCCCGGGTATCAGGAACACTGATTGCATGCTCTTTGGCTGGCATCGACAAAATCTATCTGCTAATCCGGTCTCGCTGAACCAGGAAGGCTTTCGCTAACCATGATTTGGCTACAGTGCCGCCACTGCACATTTGCGAAAGCCGCTAAAGTCGACATGGACGTCATGCAGCTCTGCATCGAAGAAGCCCGTGGTTGTGATGCTTCAGGTCACAACGGGGCCGGCAAGACCACCCTTATGAAAGAAATCGCCGCACATCGCATCGTGGGCATGCCGTCGGACCGGCCTTGAAAGACTTTTGTTTTGGGCCTTATCAATACTCAGAGAAGAGCGCCAGCGCTTTCGGCTCTCTTCTACTTCTTGCTTCCTTCATTAATCTCCAAGGGCCTTTAGCCTTCAACGGCTGATCCAGGTATTGTAGAGTGGCTTAGACTTTAAACTACAAGAAGTGATTGGTCACAACAGCTCGGCACTTCGCCCTGACCGAGAGCCCGGTAATTCTACCATTCCGACCAGCGAGGACTTGAAGTGCGTCCACGTCGACGACTCGAAGCTGGGAGAAATGAGCAAGAGCTACTTGACAGCCAGGGCCTTGGATGGGTTTGAACGTTTAGTACCTACCTAGTATACCTTACATGAGGCATGACAGAATACCGATGATTTCATTAAGTATAGTTGTATACACACTACATACTGTTTACATGGTACAGAACATATAATAGTATATGATACTTGATCGGGTGGTTTCTTGCGGACACTTACCTGGTTGTGAGCGAGAGAACAAGGCGCTGGAGTACTGCATCAAGATGGCCAAGGATGACTCATCACCATGTACTGTGGAATGTTGCTTGTTGGTGTGCCTTGGTGACAGGTATCTGTTGTTTCATACGAGTATATAACGTGAGTCGCCTGTCCTGGCAGGATATTGGCGTAAACGATGCAGGAAGAGACACTCTGCTGAAGGTGAGGCGTTTCATGCGGGGAAGTTTGCAGCCGGCAAAAGGCAGTGTGCTAGCTTTGCAGGTTGGCTTCGATGAGGCCAAGCTAAACGATCCGGTTTCGGAGCTGTCGACAGGATGGAGGCTCGTCTCGAGTTGCTGAAACTTGTGCTGACCGTACTTAATACTTGCTGAAGCATCCTCTTTGGAGGATGCGCTTGACCCTGGCCGTGTCGATGCTGAAGCACGCAGATCTTGTTCTGCTGGATGAGCCCACGTCGGTGCCTGAGTGATCTGCGGATGTTCACTGGTGGCGAGAAGACAGATCTGGACCCCAGCTTGACTGTTTTGTTCTGTGACCGAGACTCTGTCATCCTTCCTGCTTCCTTCGAGTGCTGCAACCATCAAGAGCACCGGTTGGATTGCGCTGTCACTTCTGAACTTTGAGGAACCATCTGGACGAGGAGTCCGTCAGGTGGCTGAGCGCCTTTGCCTCGGCCGAGCAGCGCAGCAATGACGCGATTGCATTGCACCCATAGGACGAGGCTTTGAAGCCGGTAAGATGTAGAAAGCTATACAAAAAAAAGATGTTATATGCATACTACTACATATGACTATGACCCATAAGGAAAAGGAACCCTGCGGCTACTCGACCGTTTGAACCTCATGAGCCGCAGTTTTGGGGAGAGCTGCCAACCCTCAGGACTACATCCTGTCCATCACATCATCTTCCGTCATGGTCAGCCGTGCTTGTCTTCAACCAAATCGCCGCATCAGGGGCGTTTTGCCTGTCAATGCAGTAGTAGTGTTTTATCTCATCCTCAGCTTGTCGCAAGCGATCTTGAGTGTGAGCCAGGTCATCTCTCACGAACCCAAGTTCCTGAACAAGATCTGCACTCATGTCCCGGCCTCAGTGTGACATGCGAGAGCTCAAGGTTTTGAATCCAGTCGCAAACCTCCTATGCAGGTGGTCGCATATGTGGACAAGAAGCTGGAGTACACAGAAGGCGACGCCACAGAGGGCAAGACGACCACACGGCCAGCAGCAGATATTGGCAAGTTTTCACAGTTGCCTGTGGCGCGAATATATATATATATATATGAGTACTCGCAACCGTGCATGCGCTCTGTGCACACGCAGCTACAGACCGACCCGGACAGAGAAAATGAGGGAAAGTGCTTCAACAACATCTTCACGCAGCGCACATTTCAAAATTTCCACATCTCGGCTCCCTGAACATGCAAACATGGATCAATAAGTTGATGCGGACTATGTGACAGATATCTGCCCTTGCAGGTAGGCACACGCATGCATTGATTCCATGCACGCTCTCATGCATGCATACACATATTCATACGTGCGTTGCATTCATGTATGCATACATGCATCGTACGGGCGCACGTAAACACTTCTGGCACATGTATACCCATGTGCATGGAGACCCATATAAATGTCGCATGCGACGAATGCCGGCATATACGCATACTTACGGGTCTGCGAATATGGTTGCATGCATACAGACGGATAGGCTGGCGCACAGACTGACGAACTACTAGGCAGGCATCCAGCGAGCCAGGTATTTGCTATCCATAGTTATATAGTTGCGTTTGCAGAGAGGGTTACATGCATGTTACATGCATGCATACTTGCATACTTGCTTGGTGCATCTTGTGTTAATTTCAAAAGATTACCGACTCGGACCTGGCGAGTTTGATGGTGGTCGTTATTTTTATTTCTGCTATTCTGGACAATCAGAATATCATGATTTTAATTTGATTATGTTTATCAGTATGATTGTCATTAGTAGCATTGCCATGCGGCCCCTGTGGTCAGACTCGCGAGGCAACTTCGACATCTTCGCCCAGAAGAAGGGTCTGAGCAGGGACTGCCCTGCCTGCTTGCTACAGTGATCGTCACGACGCAGCTCTAAAGGAACTGCTGGCAGCAGCTGTCTCTGCTTGATCCTGCAGGAGCAGATCGACTCCATGCTTTCTGGCAACCTGAGCTTCGACACGAAGAAGGAGGGCGAGGATGAGGAGGAAGGAGGCACGAGCTTCCCGATGCTCACTCCTGCAGCTGGCCCCGCCAGTCCCAAGTCCCAAGTTGTCATCTATCTTGAGGGTTGCAGAAGCCCAATGACATCTGAGACAAATCCTGCGAAATACAGCAAATTCATATCATAGTAGATCATAGCAAAAAATATTATACAATTTTATCGTACATATTTTAGTTCATGTGTTAGTCTGTATTCCAGTATATTACAGTATCTTGAAGTTTGTATGTTAGTTTTGTACTTCCTGGAGGCATCTCCTTTTTTGATTTGTCTTTGTCCTGCTCAGCCAAAGAACCCGCAAACCCCAAAGCGCCAGATCTTCAACCCTACCGGACAGGTGATGTCCCCAAAGCCGGAGGCTCAGCAAAGGCGGCATCCCCGTAACCTCAGTGCACGCCCTTTGCGCTCAGGGTTTGGGGAAAAGAATATCACACTCAGCGCGCACGAAATGCAAGATCAGCAATGAAGTACGTGCGTATCGCTGAATGCTGTAAACCAACCATAGCAATAGAAGGCAGTGACCACGCGAATCAACAGCCGACAACAGCTTTCGGCGAAGCCTGTTCATGTGATGAACCTCCGAATAAAAGTGGTGATGTCGATCCGGGCAGGTGCACGAAGCGTAGCCCTAGAACTCTTCTTTTTCTTCTCCTCCCATGCAGCACCGCATTAGGCTTAGGGTTTGACTGTAGTTGACGGTTGGCAATGGGAAGCCCTAATAACCTAATATCTTTCACAGCCTGGACATAGCAACACTTGGCATTTCAACTCATCCGGACGCTGCAACTTCGAGTTTGCAGTTCCGGAGAGATCCTTTAGCCTGATCCTAAGCCGCTTAACACTAAAACACCCTAAACAAACCAAAAACAAGCCCTGAAATCCCTAAACCCTAAATCTTCCTGACAGCCCCCTTTAGGTCTCAGCTCCTGTGGCTGGGCCACCCAAGCTCACCTTCCCGATCCCTGGGTCAATGGAGGGCGTGAAGCCCGAGACCCCAGTGTTCTGATGTTCTTGATTCGGGTTCAGGGTGTAGGATTAAGGGTATAGGTTTTTGGGGTTTAGAGTTTTGGGGTTTAGGGTTTAGGTTTGTTTCAGTTTAGGGTCTAGGGTCAGGCTTCTGATTCCGAGCCATTGGGTCCAGCATAAAGGGAGTTTGGGATCCGTTTAGATTGGGGATTAGGAATTCAGAGGATCTTGAAGCTTCTAGGCCTTTTAAATGGGCTCCGCTGTCCTTCACAGAGACTTCTCCGAGCCAGGAAGCTCCTGAAGTGCTGTTAATGCGGGAAGACCGCACATCTTCCGAGAAAAGGGACCTGCTGTATCCGAGTACAAGCACGACTTAGACTATCATCACATCCACAAGAGTTTGATTTAATCCCGGTTTGTAATTAATTGGCAACCTAAATTCCGGTTTGTAATTAATTGGCAACAAAAGGCACAACATAATTTCAACAAATCATGAGACAGTGATGAGTGAGACACAGTGGAAAGCAGCGGCTCAGGACCGGCTCGAAAAGCGTCCTGGAGATTAAGCCGCGTGCCCAATTCCGGTTTTGCGGGCTTCAGGGCCTTGGGGGGGTTTTTCGATAGGAGTCCTCCAGAGGTCAAGCGTGCCGGAAAGGTCGGAGTTCCAGTAATTTGTGGGATGGGGGCTTTCCAAGGGCAGGGGTTTGGGTGTTTCGAGATCTTTGAGAAGTTGCCAAAGAAGGGGAGAAGAATCAAGCCCAGAGCCACAAACACCAAGATGAGACGGAGGTGGTGGGCAGGAATGGACGGTAATGACTGATCATAACTATTCGCAAAGGCTACTTCGCCGCTGACGATGAAGGAGCTAGTATGGTGCCCAAAACATGACGGCGACGTAAGAAGCAGGAATGAAAAGAAACGACGAGGGGTCACAAGGACAATGCAACCAACTCGGCCCACAAAGGTGCTTGCAAATGTCATGAGGCGTAGCACTGTTGATGCCAGTAGTGCTCGTAGCATTGCTAGATATCCTGCTATGGATCATGGCAGCAGGCAGGGGTAGCTGGTGGTTTCGTAGCACACTTCTGCATTTCAAATGAAATTTCAATGGCGAATATCTCACAACCAACTCATGAATGTGGCAGGTCCGTAACTAAGGAGTTCGTGACTTGCTTGCTCCCCCTGCCCGCGCTGACAAGAACATGAGCTGAGTCTGAAACTAAATAGGTATTGTTGTTCATACTTGCGTTGTGGTCCGGCATCCGAGGCACGTGTCCTTCCGGTTTTCGAAGGACAAGGCATGGAGATCTTGCACACGTGGTTTCGGTGAAAAGAGGTGGCCGAGGGTGCGCAGCTATGTTCAGCTCCATACTGATAATAAAGCTTCAGGCTTCGTGTCAAGGCAGTCTCTTCAGTAGTATTGTAGAGACCCCTCAAAGGGGACCCTTCTTAACCCTGCTTATGGCTCTCTTAAAAGGGACCTTATTGATGGGGTCTCTCTCTCTCTCTCTCTCTCTCTCTCTCTCTCTATATATATATATATATTCATTCAAGGGTCTCCCTAATCCTAACTCCTAGGCAGGTAACTTCGATTCAGTGCCCCTGCGTCCAAGCTCGAGAGAACAAGTCCAGCCCAGCATCCTGAATTCAGCAGTTTAGGGCGTAGTACCTGTGGCCGAAAGACCTACCGTTTTAGGGCTCCTCATTATGATTTCTACATTTATCGAATGGTAGGTGTCTTGGGCCACAGGTCAGGGTTTTCGTTCCCGAAGCCGACTTCCGCAAATTTGGTATCACAAGGGGGCAGTTTAGGGTTCAGGGGTTTAGCTTGAAATCCTTGCACATCAGCTCCAGAAGCCGCAAGACTTGCAGAACAAGTATACTTATACCTATAATGTACACATATCTGCAATATTCAAACGTTGCATACATACTGCATGATTCGTTATGCAAGACGTATTGTTTTACATGATGAAGTGTGGATATGATATATATATATGTATAGAGAGATAAACAATGAAGACATGTATAAATGTACTGTACATATATACACACACGCAACATATTCTAAAGCTTCCTGGCACAGGATTACCTCTTCCAAGACTGCACCGGTAAGCTGAGTCTAAGCTCGCGCGTGGCCATCTGCGGCAGGACCCAAATCCATGCTTCTTTGGGTTTAAAGTTTCTACTCATGTGTGTGTGCCTTTTCCAGATCGAGAAGCACATGCATGTATTCAGTTGTATGCCTCAAGCCTCAAACCTGACAGGGGCAAAGACCGGTTTGCCTTGCTATGTTCGCTGGGAAGATGAACCTGCAGCTTGATATCGCTCAGAGAGTGGATGTCTGCACCTTCAGTAATGCAGTATCATGTAGTACTTGTCGTGGCAGCCTGGGTTGTCCTTGGCTGCAACCTGATCTTTCCAGCAAGGAAGCTGGTAAAGTCTAGCCTGGTCAACCTCGATATGTGATGGAGTCTTTAGCACTGCAGGCTTCTCGTGAGCACATGTCGGAATGAGAGTTTGTCTTGCGGTCCCTGGACTGGCACTGCTCGGGCAACAGGAACGGCTGCGGAAAATCGACCCTCATGACATTGTTGTGCAGCGAGCCTGGTCCCCGGCACATTCGCACTACTGTATGAGCCCTATCCGCCCAACCGACTCAGCGCATCCGCCTTGCACCTGACAAGGTTGCATCCCTCGGACAACAAGGACGGCGGCCACGGGGAGGCCCTGTGCGAAACGCAACGAATCGGAATAGCCAGACGGGCAGCAATTACTGAGAAAAGGGGAGAGATAAGACCGGCAGTGACGAAGCTGCAATCTTTGCTTCGTAAGACGAGCTCCCCACAGTGCACGTCATGTGGTGGCAGGTCTGGCGACATCACAACCTCCGCCTCGCTTACATGAAGCAGGACACATCCCTTCTTTGGGGACGCTCATGGGCCAAACTCACAAACATGAAGCTCGGAGGCTTGATTGTAAGAAGGTTTGCAGGCACATCCGTCAGGATCACCTCAAAGCCTTGGGGCCTTTCTTCGATACTTCGCCGCCGGCTCCCTAGTTGAATGCATCGGTTCAGCTGCTCGATGCACTGTGCCACGCTTCACAGAAGCTTGCAGTTGTTGTGGCAGCCATCTGCTAATGATAAAGGTTTGTATACATCACCGAGCGCTTCAAGGAGCGGTATGCCTTACGGCGTTTTGCCTTGATGTATCTGCCGGTGTCCTTTGCATCCCCCGGCGAGTCGTGTCGGCCTCGTACAGTCGTACAGTTGAGCCAAGCAGCAGGATGGCTACGACGGCGATCTTCAGAAAAGGCTGATCGAGCCGAACTCTTACCAAGCCTCTCACGCTTTCATGTAGAAACTAGCGCAAGTCGATGGCAATCGTGGCCGAAGCTGCTTGCTTCTTCGCTCGAGGCCAGAAGATGAAGAAGATGCCCTGCGGCGGAAGGATGCCAATGGCACGATTTCGAGAGACAGGGTTTGGGTGAGGCAGCTGCGCCAGCGCTAATATAGGTAAGAAGGAACCCCCCCCCCCCCCAACAATAGTATTGGTAATAGTTTTGGCCCCTATATCAGGTGCTTTGCTCAGGGGCAGCCTTTTGCTTTGCAACCTGTGCTTATGCCCCCTTCTGACGTATCTTGCCCTCTTCGGAAGCATCCTCCCGAACGCATCGGACCGAACGGTATTGACGGCGCAACTTGCAGCATCCGTGCAAGTACAGGATAATCGGAAAGGTGACCTTTCCTGCAGCGTTGGCGTAGTGTAGCAGGTGCAGAGATTTTTTCTGAAACCGCCAGACATGTCATCCATCAACCCATCAACCTGAAAGATGTTTGGTCGGAGCCGCACCTACAATCTTCGTCCGGAGGAATGTTCTTCGGCACAGTTCGTGTAATCCTAATACATCAGCAGGCCCACTGAACAACCTGTATACATCGTTCTGGACACTATCAAAATCTATCAGACCTAGCGACACTGCCAAGTCTGCAGCTTCAGAGGAGCTCGCAAAGCAGCATGGCAAGTACGGCAACGAAGTTGCGGAGTTGGTGAGCCGAACGAAGGTGGCCTGTGAGCTGTTCGGTCCAACTGACGCGGTTTTTTCGAGGGCGATTTTTGCTCCTCTTTGCACTCACAGGTGCCTCTTTTGCCGAGGCTTCAACACGAAGGCTTTGTGCAAACTGCAAACGAGCTGGGCAGGTCGGCAACCACTTGGCCTATGAGGTTAGATGGGCTCGGAGCTGAGGCAGTGACTGTTGGAAGGCATGTGTGCTCTCTCGTTCTCCCATACGGCTTGCTGTACTTTCTCCATCGAAGGACGGGTTGGACGATCCGAAGCAGAACACTGTGGAGCCCATCTCGAAGCTGAAGGTGCACTGCCGAAAGGAGTTTCTTTCCTCAGATGGGCTACTGGCTCTGTGTGGATCGAGCACAGGCTGGGTGAAGGATTTGTCCGTCTGACGTTTAGGGTTTAGGTTTTGGGGTTTCACCTTGCGTCGCAGAACGAGATCATTGTGCAAGGCGATGGGCCTGGACAAGGTCATCATCGCCTGCGACGAGCGGATCGCCGCCAAGGTTGCTTCCGGTACCCAACATGCAGTTTTGCACACTACTCAAGTTACCACCTAAGGACAACCGAACGAACTCACCAATTTACGTTACTGTGATTATGATGTGCGGTGGTGGCGGTGGTGGCGGTGGCGGCCATTCCACAACTCGACGAGAAGCCTGTACGAGTACTCGGGTTAAGTCGTCTGTCCTTTGCGACATGCAAACCCAGCCAAAACACATTGTCACGCTACAAAGCCGTAGCAGCTTTTGCGTGCAATGCACTTTGCCATACTCAGTGCGACGAGTCTCGTGCTACATGCAGATTTGACATGTCAGGCTGCGCTCCTTGAAACCCAGCTTGTACTTGCAGTCTCGTAGTGTGTGGGTCCACTTTATGCTGGCGGGTCGCCTTCACGCAAATCTGGGCGTGACCTTGGGGAGCTGCCGCACTCAGACGGTTCCGAGTTTGCATCAAAGCTTTTGCATCAGCGCTAGAGGGAAAGTTATCGACATGCTTCGCGTCGTAATCATGCGGGTTAGAGAGTCCAAAAACGCCAGAATCAGCATGATGTCGCCCATGCATACTGGCCTCCGAACCATGGTGTCAGTCTTTGTCGCGATGGCGCGTGTAATCGTACTTGATGGCCAGTGGCAAAGTACCACCAAATCTCCAAAGCCGAAATGGCATCTGCTCAGCCAGGCCGCTGGCCTCGACCAGCGTCCGCTCACACGGCGAGAGATTGTCAGGCTGGAGAGATTTACTGTTTAGGGGAAATAGACTCATCATGCACACTTGTGTGGGCAGCGTGGAGCAACCCCCAGGTGTCAGATCTGGGCGTTATAAGGGGTGTTCGGGATCTTGCGAGGGGTTTCTAGCTAGGAGGATAGGCTCGAGGCTGGCTACCTGGTTAGCCAGATCTTTGATTTCGTTATTTATACTACACCGTTTAGCTTCTAAGGGTGTTGGCACAAGAGCCCTTAGCCCGAAATTCGAGTCATGGGAGCCGATGTATGCACTCCGAGCGGGGAAGGATCCTGATTGTACTGAGCATACTGAGCCCCACAGAGAGGAACCCCGAATTTTTGGAAGCCCCTGTTTGGGTGTTGGGGCTCCCGGCCGGTTCTCGTTTTCACCTTTCATCGCGACTGTGAGCATGAGATATCTTGAGCTCGAGGCGAGGATGGAGCATGGTAGGAAGTTTACAAACCCGAACCTCAGTCTAAATCCCAAATCCTATGACCCGACATCCAAAGCCGCCAGCTCTAAATCCTGAACCACCGGGTTTCCGGTGCTATCTGGGTAGTTAGTCGATGTTTCCGACATTTCGAACCGACCAGCGTCTTGAAACCAACCTACCCTACACACTTTGCCCCGCACCCCAAACACTACACTACTTTGGGTTCATCTAGCAGGCATTGCGAGGCTTTCGGGATCGATGAGGCCGGTTGCCCAGCTGTCCGCAGCAACAGGGTCGTGAAGGGGCCTTACTACTGTATAGCCTAGTATAGTACAGTATAGTATAGCTACATCCGGGATTGTAATTATTATACTACTATATGGGGATCGATAAGGTTGATAGGTAGTTCGCTCTTTCTGCAGAGTATGGGCTTCGAAGGTGTCCAGTTAGGATCCGTTGGGCATCCGGCATTGTGCGCTTTCGCGTTCGTGGCAGTTCATAGCACTGCTAGTATGGTCTCGTATAGCATACATAGCATAGTTTAGTATAGTATAGTATAGTATAGTATAGCTATATTGGGGACATCATGCTACAAGTGGGTCGCTCTTTCTGCAGATTTTTGTGTCCATCCAGCATCCGTGTGTCCATCAAGCATCCGGCATTGTGCATGTTAGTGTTCGTTTCAGTTCACTGATGACCAGCCTGACCAGGAGATGTGCTGCAATCGTCAGATTCGTGGCTTCTCCGCTGGACAGAAGGCCTGACGCTTCCGTTTGGCGAGTGCTATTTGGGCCTCAATACTGCACAGTAGAATATAGTGTAGTACAGTATAGTATAGTATAGTATAGTATATTTGCAGACTCCTGAGACGGGAGTTGCCAAGTCATTCTGCATCGCAAGCAGAAGTCTTAGCCTGCATGGTTGCCAGCCGTGCTGGCTCCAAGTTGGAAAGCTCTTGGACTTCCAGATGTTCTGAGTCACCTAAACCCCTAAACCCCTAAACCCTAAATCTGAGTCTGGAGTGCAAGCCATCAGTCCTCACTCAAGCTATGGTGTGCTAGATCTTTGTCGGACTTCTTTCTGCTGGGATGTGGTTCCCTCCGCAGTGAACGTCCACCCACACACCTCCCCATCTCCTCCACGAAGTAATGATGGTAACAAACAAGGCATGGGCAGCAAAAGTAACTCAAAGCCATTCTCCGGTGCTGCATCAGGTGCGGCTGTCCTTAGCAGCAATGTTTTGGACAAAGCCGTCCGACACTCATCCTGCCAGTGCTTGCATTCTCGGATGACTGCTGGGAGATTTTGTGTTAGTTTTGATTTGTCCTGCCTGCTGGTCACCCCAAGACATTTCATCGCTCTGGATGAGCCCACGAACTATCTGGACGTTGAGACGGTGGATGCGCTGGGCAAGGTGCCACGGGTAGAACGCGAGTCGAGCGATTCGTGTGTTTTTCAGATCTGGTTGGTGCTTTTTGACATGGGAAGACCATCATGACCATCCAGAGAGCACGAAGTCAACACTAGAAGGCCTGACGGATTGACTGCAGTTGGTCCACACTTTCACGGACCGGCATGTTATCCCTATTCAACTTCTGTTCCCATGTAGCAGCTACGTTTGTACACCCTTCTTGCGAGCGAGGCTCTCACGAACTTCCGCGGGGGAATCATCATGATCGAGCCCAAGAGCGACTTCGTAGAGCGGATCTGCAACGAGAAGTGGGTCCTGGAGGCATGCGAACAGCACTCTCATTCGAGCTTCTTCTGGGCTCTCCTGACTCAATCGACAAAGGGCTTTTCATTCGTGGGTATTATCTCAAATCCGGTAGCAAACAAGCCACGTAACAGCAGGGTTAACTAGCTATTTTGGACGTGTTGCTTATCCTGTCAAAATGTCAGAAGGCGTTTGCGGCTGTGATTATGAGGCCCACAATGTGCCGCATGGGGTGCCTGGCACTGCTTTTCTGCTATAGTCAAAGGCGGATGAAGCTCCATGATAGATCAATCCTACGCGGTCCGAAACTCAAAACCTCGGCAACTCCTCTCTTTCAACCCAAAACTGCAGAAATCCTGAGCTGCGCAACGCAACGAGAGCACGAGGAGCTGTTAGGTAGATGTGTGACCGGATCTAAACTCTGAATTTCGGACTCTGCTGCTGCAAACTGCAACCCCTCACTGCGTCAACCACACACAGACGTGCCAGGACGGGGTCATGAAGCACGAGAAGCTGAACAACGGTGTGAAGCGGCAGGCCTAGGACCTTGAAAGACAGTTTCTGTGACGGTGAGATTGTTGGCCTATATGTTGGGGAGAAGATTCAACCTATGAGGTCCGTATTGGGTTTTCGTCAAGCAAGCTTTCAGCCGTTGCAAAGCAAGTCGAAGGATTCAAGTCGTGCAGTTTAGGGCTCGGTGAGTTAGGGTCGATGGCGTAAATTCTAAGTAGCTTGGGAAGTTCGAGGTTTCATCTTCGTGACCTTCCGCAGTGTCTAGCACCTGGCTTTCTGTTTTAAGCCTTTGCAGCAGAGTTGCAACTCTCCCCTCGTGGCCACCAGAAAGCCCGCAGGAGAGGCTGGCCCAGACATCTCCTCTCTAAGTCTGCAGTTACGGTCCATCCACGTGCGCAGCCAAACCCTAACACCCCTCCCCGAAGTTAGGAGGGCAAGCCAACCTTTGCAGCGGTCGTCTACTGGAGTCCCATGAACTCGCTTGCCAGACCAGGAGCTTCCAAGAATTGCCCATAGTATGAAGAGTTAATAGCAGGAATGGTAATAACATTCATAGCAAAAATACTAACTGGTTTCCTTCGGCGTTGGGAGAATTGGGAGAATTAGGACCTAGGATTGTGGTTTGTCGGTCGGGCCTTAAAGAGGATGTAGGAGTGAGAATTGGAGGATTATGTGTGTGTGTGTATGTATATATAGATAGATAGATAGATAGACACATATACACACGTAGAGATAGGGGCCTAAAGGAGGAATTTCGGATTGGGGGGTTTAGATGGCCTGAGGGGCCTCGAGATTTAGGGCTTCGGGGAGGCCTGGGTTGAACAGTGGCTAGGATCTACTACGGTTTGGGGCTCAGGTTTTATAGGGCTTGGGGTTTTGGGTTCAGGTTTCAGGGTTGTTTTGTGCGGCATATGCAGATCTGCAGCCTTGTTGCCATCGTGAAGACGTCTTGAATGGATGCGCCGGGGTACCCACATGAGGTTGAATTACATAACATGCTCGCCTTACCCAAGTTCAGAATGTTTGGGTCATGGGTTTAGTGTTAGAGCTCAGGCATGGAGATTTTGGGATATACGGCTGGCTTTAGCTTTCAGACGCTGAGTGTGGGGCATTGAGGTTGTAGGTGCTTCGCGGTTAGGATGTCGCGGACGCTCTTCGGGCGCCGTGTCTTCACAGTTTCAGTTTTGCCAGAGACTCCAAAAACCCTGAATCAAAGAATGCACTTAAGATTATAATGGGAACCCTGATTGTAACAGTTTAAGGTACATTTCTTAATTAAAGGGTTTTGGAGTCTCTGGGAACTACAAGTAATGCTATTCTTGGTAAGAGTTTTCATAGTATGAGTCGTAATCAGAGTAATCAGTGGGGAGGATTCCCTCTCGTCCTGGAGGCTCCTGGCAGGTCGTGCGTTTTTGGCAGCTGAGCTGCAGTTCCAGCATGTTCCTGGCTCCAAGAGCGAGTTTAAAGTGTGCAAAACTGTTATTTGTACTGTGGAAGATCAGAAGGTTAGGTTAGACTACGTGCAAGACATCATTACATCAAAGCTGACCCCATGCCATGTGTTTTTGGGTGTACTGAGTTTCTTAGCTCATTCGTCCTGAAATATATTCGCACTATTGATTTTCCTTGTATTGCCAGGCCAACACTCGGATTTGTGCTGCTGGGATCCGTTGCGAATAGTCTCGCAGTCATTGTGCTACTGCCCATGCTACTGTACAGAGGAAGAATCGCTGGCAGCAAAAAAGGAGACCGAAACGACTCAGCCTGTTTTTTTGAAGTGTGGAGGCCACATTCGACGTTAGGCCCCCGCTTTTAGCGGTAAGGCTTATGGGGAGTTCGGCGTTTCGATTTCGACCTTGGGGCTTCAGCGAGCATTGACAATCATCCCAGTAGGAATCGGAACAACAAACATTGTAATTATTCCTGAAGAACCGCTGCAGCACCGCTCTCGTGGCTTCCCCAAGCCCGAAAGTGCAGGGTAAGTGTGAGTCCAGTGTTGTGATGCTGACGGTGCTGCAGATCACTCGTGATCTTCAGAATTCTTTTGGGCCTTCTGCGGCACAATGAAGCAGAAGTCATGGAGATAAGACTAGTAGCTACGGCTACCGTCCACACCACACCTCCACAGTAAATGACCGACGTTTTCATACTCCAAACTCCAATCCCTGCCCAAGCCCAAGCTTCTTACGAGGCCTTCGAACCCGAAGCCTTAATCCCTAGGCCAATGCCCTCTGAACCATACACCATATCTTATGAGTTCCCCGGACAGGCGCGGTCAGTTCAGCGATCCGGGAAGCATCCTTTCATCGACTGCTGAGATCCGACAGATCTGGCAGGGCCTGTGGACGGTGTTGGGCGGTGTTGGGTCTTTTTCCAGGTTTCGGTTGAAGGCTGCAAGATTGAGGACTGTTAGGTTTGGAGGTCTCGCGCTTTGGAAGTACCAAGAGGGGGTGTCCATTTGGGTGTTTCTGTTTCATGCCAGTGGTTGGTGGGCTCTGCCCCAGCAGCCTTAGATGAAATTGCGGCAAGCAAAAGCTTGTGCCTGAAATGTGTAAAGTTCCCAGTCAGTGGCCCTTCTGGGGCACTTGTAGAAGACACCCTAAGATGATCGGAATTTTGAGAGACTTTAACATGGCAGCTTTCTCGGCAACTGGGCTTCTGGGCTCTCGCAGTCATGAGTGTCCTCAGCCTCCGAGCCATTCTTTGCTTCTGGTTCTTCATGGTGTATGAGTGTCCCAGCGCGTCGTGTTCTATGTGATATTCTTGTGTGATACATAGGTTGCTGGTTTTCATCTAGCCTACTGTTGAAGTGGTCGCCCCGGTAGTGCTATCAGCACAGGCTGAGATGATGTTGCTAACGATGAGGTGATGATTGTGATGATGATGGTGATGATGACGTCAGCAATGATGATCCTGATCATGACAATGATGCTAGTGTTGAGTTAACACGACCATGCTTGCTCGCAGAGGCCCAGCAATGGTAGCCCAATTCCGAGAAAGGCCACGTGTCCGCCTTCAGCCGAGAGTCAGCAAGCCTTCCACTGGAAGACTGCCCTCTGTTTCGTCCTGGGTTGTTATGCTTGACCGACGTCGGCTAGTTTTTTATGGCATGAGTTGGTTGCCTCGGATCATCATGTATCGCAGTGCCGTGTCGTTATTTTGGCTTGGCTGTTGAAGGCAGTGTTTAATTAGCAGTCATTGGCGGCAGAGAGGGGTCTCTTGTGAGTTTTCCAGTCGCCAGGCAAGTTTAAAAGCCCAACCTAACTACCGTAGCCGAAAACCACTCTGGTCGTCAGTATACGCTGCGGGTATGCGCTAGCTTTTGTTTTCCATGTAACAGCATTGCCTGTGCCACAAGATTTCTGCCCGCCGACGCGCGTTTAAACAAAGCAGTGGCCGGGGCAATACGAAGTTGAGCCCCGTGCTTTCATGCTGAGTTCCTTTCAAGGCCTGAGCTTGGTCAAAACAGGAGGGGATCCTTTTGGTGATGCTATTCTTGCAAAACCTCTCTGACACTTGAAAGTCGGTCTGTGCATCCCGAGGGGGGAGAGGCAGAGAGAGAGAGAGAGAAGGGGGTCCCCCCTTGTCCTTTGAAAACTGGTGCGGGGCCCTTTCCTTCCTCGCCCCTCCGTCTGGTGATGCCTTGAGCCTCGTTCCCATGCTTCTGCTGCAGTTGGCTCCGACCTTGCCTATTGCGAGCAAAGTCGCAACGCCCCAGCCCCGACTTTGAGCACCATCCGTACCCTGCTGGGGCCTGTACACTGCAACGCGGGCTGTGACCAGAGCTTCCGTCTCGCAGTCGTGTGTGGATCAGTGGGGTTGTCTACCCCACATCTCAGGCAGGGGTTTTGGTGTTGATCTGCACCAAAACCCTCTCTGATGTCCTTAACCCTGCCGAAAGAAAGAGAGAGAGAGAGAGAGAGAGTTCAACGGTCTGAGGGACCCAGAAGCCCACCACTCAATAAAACAATTGGTGGTGGGGCGGGCCAAAGGCCTGAGGGTCGGCGACGCTGACCCCTAAGCCCTGCAGAAAGAAGAAAGAGAGAGAGCGGGAGCGCAGAAGGAGAAGAAGAAGAAGAAGAAGCAGAAAAAGGGTGAGCAAACACGCTGAGCTGGATGTCCGCTCATGTCTGTAATGCCGAAACAGGGAACAAGAGAGCACACAGAGAGATAAACCAGCAATAAATTCCTGTGCTTTGTGTCCGGAGCTTTCTCGTGTGCTGTGAGAAAGAGCTGGTCGGGCTTGCCAGTTTTGCCAGCACGCGAAGTCAGCGAGCGATGATAGAATGTTGCAGTGTTGCAGTGTGCATTAGTATGTTATACAACGCCATAATATGTGGGGGCCTATTGTAGTATACTGTACCACCTAGCATGTTATAGTATGTTATTGGCCTAGTTTTGTTTCTCTATTTGGCTGCGATTTTACCGACGAGATGTTGGGATCCTTAGCTGTTTCAGCTCAGATGTGGAGAGGGTTTCATGACCGCTGAGAGCCCTGCGGCTGCGGCTTGCTCAGGCCCCCTGCAGCCACTCGAATGGATCTCAAAATAGCACAGTATATTGCAACAGATCGCGGTATAGTATTTTCACGTAGGTTCTGCAATATCACAGTATGTCATAGTATATTGTAGTATATTATCGTTCAATGTCGCAGAGTATAGTTTAGTGCAGTATAGTCTACGTAGTATAGGCTTTGAGAGACCGGTGCTCACTGGAAGGATGGCACCCCGCAGCTTCGACACCACCTTCCGTGGCATGACCAAGCGGCAGTTAGAGGAGCTATTGAAGGTTTAGGGTGTAACTATGGTTCAGGGGATTTTTAGGGTGTAAGGTTCAGGTGTCTCTTTCAGGCTGTGTTTGAGTCTCGAGAGCCCTTCGTTTCTGGGGCTCTTCTGGGTGCCGCTTCGACGAGCTGCGTGCCTGGACCCCGCCCAAGCCTCGGGATATGATCCAGCCGAATGTGAGAAAAGAAGCTGCGGAATCAAGGAGTACCATGCTGAACTGCATCCTTACATGAAGGAATGTGCTGCTAAGACACAGCTAAAGACACGTGAGAAGTAGTAGTATACAGAATGCAAAACTCGAAGCATCGCGGGGATCTCGCTTGCACTGCCCTTGGGAACCCCATTATATCATATTGTATCCTCTCCTAAAGCCGATACCCTCGCATACGCAAATATGCGAGAATATACTAGAACACACGCTAATGTACGGTAATATAAAACATACTACAACATGCTATAGTATACCGGGGTATACTACAACATATAGTTAGTTTACCATACTATACGATAGCATACTATACCTAGCCATGCTATACTCCAACATACGATAGTAGCCTGTCAAATGCTGCAACACACTACAATCTACCATAATGTGATAATAATGTGCCATTAGCACGATGTACTATTGTATCCAGCTCAAGCATGAAATAACAATATGCCATACGATACTATAAAGTACAATAAGCCGCAACAACATACTACAAGATTGCACAATATGCTAGAACGTACTATGATATACCAGGAGCTACTACGTATAACCTACAGCATAACATACTACACGACAGCATCCTCCAATGAACTGTAGCAAACTATACTACATCATGATGTGCTATAAGGACAACATAACGTTCTATAACACACTACGGTGTACCGTAATGTGCTATAACATGTTATATTGCACTGCAATGTGCTACAAGATACTGCAACCTGCATGATGCATTGTAACATGCTGTAATATAATATGCTGTAACATACTGCAGTATCCTGTGCTCGGAGGATGCAGCCGGTGCAGATTTGCGGCATCACCTAGGCCGCAAAATCTTCGCGTCTGCCGGCTGAAAGAAGCTTAGCGTTGTGGGTTCAAGGCCCAATCGTTCGGGTTCAAGTTTAGGGCAGTGGGCTTTGGGTTCAGGGATTAGGGTTTAGGGGGCGGAGCCACAAGGCTGTGACGATTGGATTTCATTTCTGGTCTCAGAGTCGGCACCTGCCGGTTATTGAATCTACAGCAGCTGTGCACTGAACGCGTTTAATGCAAAAGAGGCCATCGGGAGTTCCTTGTGTTTGTTTGTGCAGGTTTCCTTTCTGTTGTTCTGGCGTGTTTTTCGATGTTTGCGGGTAAAATCTACAAGTTTAGAGGTGTACAATGCATTCGTTCGCTCAATGCCGTCATTACCGCCATGGTCATGCTGATGATGATGATACTGATGATCTTCACCATCATCACCATCATCATCACCATCATCATCGGCGTCGCCATCGGCATCACCATCATCATCATCATCATTTTGACGTTCGGTCAGTCTTCATGCAAGATAGCTAGGGCTTAGGCTTAGTTTGGCGGTTGATGAACCCCGTGCCTATATCTATATGTACATCAGTAACTGTATCTGTATGTAAGCAAGTTACAAACTTATGGATATATACATACATATTTATAAATACAAGCCTGTGTATATATATATATGTATATGTATATGTATATGTATATGTTGTTGAAGCCGTGCCTGAGGTCGCGAGATCCGCGCTTTGCGCCAGGATCTGATTTCCTCGAGCCAAACGCTTCGGGGCTTCCGAGCTGTAGGGCTTCGGGTCTGAAGATGTACGACAACAGAATATACTACAATAGACTAGGAGTTACTATGATATTTGACCTTATACTATAAGCTACTGCAACACACCACAATCTCACCATAATTTTGTAACCATGACAAACGATTGGAAGGTTTGGGGCCGCTTATCTTGGTTGTAGGCGGCTCCGTTTTGCCTTCGGACAGACTTGGGAGGATTTTGTCCCTGGCCATCTCTGCCCCGGTGCTTCAAAAGCAGCTGGGATCTTCTCCACCCCAAATCCCCAAGCAGCCACGGTGTTCTCGCTTCCTGAGCCATGAACTGCATCGGGTTCAGCTTGAGCACACCTTGCGTCCCTCCCAAGCCACAAAAATCAGTGGTAGATATCCTGTCCATCGCTCCGGCCTTCAGGCGTGTAAAGGGACCGTTCCGCCGGTTGCACCTCATTTTTCCGGATGCCGGATTAGCTATGCGACAAAATGCCATCCATATTCAACCTCCTTTGCATACCCACAATATGAAGCAAGACCTCAAGCAAGCGGTTGTTCTGCTACCTCATGCAACAACACTTAAAAAAACAGATCACCGAAGTTCGCTCTTTCTTGTGCGCCCCTGACTTTTCGACTCACCTCCCCTCGGGGCCACATCGAAACGCTGAACCTGAGCCCAAAGCCATCCCCAAAACCCATACATCCACAATATCCGGAACCCCAAACCGTGCGCTGAAGGCTCCGGGCCCTTGGATTTTTTTTGGGGGGGGAATACCATTGAGGGGCTGATGCGGGCCAAAGCACACAACGCACAACATGTATCTATGTATATGTGTTTGTATACACATATATATATATGTGGCTATATATATATATATATCGCGCTCTCTCTCTATCTCTGTGTCTGAGCATATACATACACACACACGTATATATATATATATGTCGTATGTATGCACACACACACACACGCGCTTTGTACTTCTGGCTTCGCTTCCAGGTCTGCCCCGTCCTTCTCTTTCGGAGGCCGCTTGCACAATGAGCTACCAAGCTGCATCTGGTGAAAGGCTTCGAGTTCCGAAGGGATCCTAAAGACCCCACTTTGAAGGCCCCTTCTAAGTCCCAGAGTTTGCGGTTTAGGGGTGCCGCAGGCTCCTTCCAGTTCTACAGTAGGGTTTGGGGCTTCGAGTTTATGGATGCTGAAAGCTCCTTCTTTGCTCTAGGGTTGAAGGTTGGGGGTGTCGGGTTGAGGCATCCGAAAAGCCCCCGGCTAGGTAAAGCATACTTGCTCTTGGCTGCCTCAGCAGAAACCCTGGAATGGCAGTAGCTATTTGAATGGAGGCCTCTACGGCAAGAGGGCTTTGCGATACTGTAGAAGCCGAAAAAATCACCAATCTTGTTCCCTGCGGTTCCGCATTATATTTAAGCTAGAGTGTACCCCCGAACCCTATTTTAGCAATTAAGTCCTCTACATTACCGCCGAGGCTGGACACCCTCGCAAGCAACAGGAGCTTCTTCTGTGCCACGCTCAGTCTCGGATGCCTCAGCATTTTTCCATGTTGGGCAAGGGCACTACCAACTTTCAACGATGGGTTGCAAAAGATGTCAGCTATTGATTATGTAGTGATCAAGAGGTTGGGGTTATGCTCATCGGTCTGGCATGCATCCGAACTTGTGGAGAAGTGGGACTGCGGTGTCGGTACACATTCAAGGAGCGAGAGCATCTGACAACTCTATCTTCAGCAAAAAAAGTTACAGTATGCTCGTTCTCGGCTTGTTCGGATGGTTCGGACCTCCAAGACTTCAAAGTGTAAGACGAAGGGGCTGTCACAAGAGTCAATGCCTACAAACTTTCGGAATGATGGTGAGGATGATTTGCCGAAACGTGCAGGCAAGACTGGCACCCACCGTTGCCAAGATGGGGAAACCTTGTTGGACGACCTGCGAAGGCCGGTTTGTCATTTGCAGAGTCTTGTTGTGCCCTGTCCATCAGTAGCCCTTGTAGTACCTGTCTAGTCTTTGCAACGTATCCGGCATGTTAGGGAAAACCCTGAACCCTAAACCCTAAACCCACCACACTGGCCAGGCGCGATGACAAGAGCCAGAAGAAGTTGCGAGAACAAGGGAGACAGTGGAAGGCAGTGCCAGGCCTGAGATTCCTCGACCTTCCTGCTAAGATGGGAGAGTACACTATAGAAGCCTGAATAATTACTGATGTTATTCTCTAGGGTTTCTTATGATAACTATGCGATGAAGGAGCCCAAATCCCTATTCTAGTTACTCAGGCCTCTATTTTACGGTAGTGCATCCTGTCTTGCATCATGTAGGATGGCTTGTTACATGGTTGGGATGCTGGCTGGGTCTGGAGGGTCAGAACGAAGTTGGCCGGCTCGCATGACGGCAGGTAGACTTTTACTCAGGCACGGGGCGTTCGGATTTCAGAAACCCCAAACCGTAAGCCCTAAACCCGAGGAAGGGCGCAACTTGCGACTTAACTTCGGAACGTAGCAAGCGCCTCAGTGCAAGCTGCAGCGCAGGTGATGCAATGAGTAGCGACACGTTGGGCATTACATGTAGGGTTTAGTTGGGGTCCCATTCATAAAGCCCCTTTCTGGAAGAACCTGTATTAGCACGCTTATTCTAATCCTGGGAAAGGGGAGCGGAGGGGTGTTATTCGAGCTTTAAATCACTTGGAGTCCTCTGTCTGCTTAGTCTCGATTTTGGCAAGGCGTGAACCCGCCCAAAGAGCCGGAAGTCTCCGAGCAGCCTGAGCTCCAGCGGATCCTGGTCTAAACAAGAAGAGACCTTCAAACGAACAGCGCTAAGAAGCCCAACCCTAAATGTGAACCGTAAAGCTTGCAGCAAGGGCCTCACCGCTATAAACGGCAATTATTCGACACAGTTTCGGGGTCCAGGTAAGCTCTAGGCTCTAAGGAGCCCCAAACAGGGCCCCACCAAGGCACTTTAGCCCCCTGCTCCCCGCAGTTTGAATGCGCTCGCTGACAGGCCCTGGGTCCTATCGAATTCCGAGGCCATCCCGAGCCAACGGGAAGGGCCTTTTTGGGATTATGGTTTAGGGATGTTTAGGGTAGTATAGGGTTGAGTTTTTCGGGTATAGGGTTGAGCTTCAGGGCGTAAGCTGGATTCAGGGTGTAGTTATCAGGCTTTGGGGACTGAGGTTTTCGGGTTTAGGGAGTTTAGTTTTGGACCCTGGAGGCTGGTCCTAGAGAAGACAAACCAGGTAAGAGGCATCATCATCTGGGTGGTTCTCTAAGTGAGGGTTCCGGGTTAGGTCCCCTAAACTAGCAAGGCAACTTTTAGAAAAGGATCCTAAAAGGGACCCCAATATTAAAAAGAACTGATCTTCAGCATCATCCTTGTCACTATGGCCAGCATGATCATCAGTACGCGACTGCGATGCCTTCCAGCCCGAATGCCAAGCCCCTCCGAGACAATGCGTGAATCCCAAAACCTGAAGCCGAAGCACTAAATCTCGAACCGCTAAGCCGCTAAGCCTCACAATGCTCGGAACTTGTCGCAGCCTGATATTTCCAGGTTCATGGGCGACATTGACCGGGCATTCGAGGCACTGGCTCATGTGTGTTGGAAAGGTTGTAGGGTTCTGGATTACCTGATTACCGTACGTTCATACTTTTCTTCGGACCTGTGCTTCTTAGGAACCACTCTGAAATGCAAGTTTATATGTTTTGCTCCCTATGTAAATATGAATATTGTATGTCTACACGTATGTGTGTATGTATGTATGTATGTATGTATGTATGTATGTATGTATGTATATTTATATATACTGCATACACTATACGCACGTGTGTAACATGCTTGCATGCGTACATACATACATGCGTACATGCATCCATCCATACATCGTGCATGCATGGGCACATATGCATACAACACCCAGAGACATACATGCATAGATAGATAGGTATGTAGGTAGATAGACCGATAGGTAGACAGGTAGATAGACAGGTTGATACACGCATATTTATGTATGTATATATAGGTAGGTAGCTAGGTATGTATGTAGGTAGGTATGTATGTATGATACGTGCGTGTGCATGGGTGTATCTTACGTATGTGTCATATGTGTGTATGCATGCATGCAGGCGCATGCATGTATGCATGTCTGCATGTGCACATGCATGTATGTATGTAGTAGGTAGGTAAGCCGGTAAGCTTGCTTGCATGTGCCACAAGGTTTGCTCATAGTATGCATGCAAGTATGCCTGTGTACGTATATATATATATATACATACATATATACATGCACATGTAAATGTGTGTATGCATGCACGCACGCACGCACGCACACACGCACGCTCGCACTCACGCATTGTGCCCACATTTGTATGTAGAGTGTATACATGTATGCGTGCACATACTTCGATCTATTTGTATGCGCGCCCGGATCACTGTACATGTGAGTCTTCGCAATAGCACATCAATAGAGTACATTTCTTGCGTGTCCTCTTCGAGGTCTCGGTTGGCAAGAACTCAGCTCCGCCACACACTCAGCGGCCTTGGGTTTGGAAACTCCTCTGGCTTTCCGCAATTTCATAGGGAACTTCATAGGCAACAGACGGGCCCAACAAGACGGTTTTTAGCACACAGGCCTCGGGTTCCATCGATTCAGCGCACAAGCGGATGTCTACCGGGCCACTTTGTTTGGTTGGCCTCCTGTCTTCAGCTTGTGTGTTTATTCAGCGGCTGGGGCTGCAGCGGAATCCGTATGATGAAAACACATGCCACCGAAAATCCGCCCGGCCCTAAACCCTAACAGGTGGCGAACACCCAGCTGGCAATTGGACAGCACCTCCTTAAGGCCGGCGCGGGATGGGAGCAAGTCCAGTGACATAGGCGTCGTAGTAACTACCTATACTATTTTGGGGGGCTCCTTATTAGAATAATACAGTTTAGGGGGTTCCTTATTATAATTATAGCATAATACACCCCAAAACCCTATTCTAATCACTATGGCCCTACATTAATCTGCCTGACCGTGACGACGGCTTCGGGCTTATTTGGTTGTATGGTCCAGTGTGGCTGTATGCGTTGAAGTTGTTTCCTGCATGGTGTTGCCGAGCTTGCACGCTGCTCCCTGCCCCCCGGCACCATCAGAGTTGAAGCCACATGAAGAAAGATTCCTTGTTGGTCTTGACCAGCGCCGGGTCCCAGCTTCACACCTTTGACATGTCATGTTCGGTACGAATAATATAGAGAGGCCTCAATGTTGGCGTATACTATTTTTTGGAGCTCCTTATTGTAGTTAGAATATAACATACCGCAAAACCCTATTCTCAATATTACCTGCATTTTGACAGGCCGGTCTTCTACCACACCATTGGAGGCGTTGGCCATGCCCGTCAAGAGCACGAGGTGCGCTCCAGTGTCTCAGGGCTAAAGATAAACCGTCGAAGCTTTGAGCTGGCCATAAGCGAGCTTATGATGATCTCTGATTTCGCAAGCAGGGCCCAGTTCCGCTACCACGTATGTGGCGAAGAGGTACTGTAGACTCCAAGACTCCGGCACTGGATCCCAGACGTCCGCTCGAAAGCACTGCAGGTCAGGCCAGAGATAGACTCCTTAAAATGCTTCCGGAAAGCCTTGAATCTCGCTTAAACGGTTAGCCTACACAAGCCCAGCAGGCAAGGCTTCTTCACAATCTCAACCTGGTGATGAAACACCTTCTTGTGGGATTAAACCTAGAAGCTTGCTGGCTTTGAGCGGCTCAGCTCCGATTCGAAGCTGGATATTGGCTCTAGAAGAGTGGGTTGAGAGCTCCCAGCGGGGTTTCTGCAGGCTTAGGAAGCTGCAACCCCAAACTGTAACATCTCCACCTTCAGCGGACAGTCTTCCGTTTTCACAGTGCTTTGTCTTCAGGGCAAGCTGCGGGTGCCGACTCCACGGAATCTGACGCCTGGCCCGGGCCACTACTTCAAGGAGAGCGGAGCTGTCGATGTGTCTCTGGGTGTGTCTCCGTGTTTGTGTGGGTGGGGGCGGAGGGTCTAGGATTTTTCTTTCAGGGATCTTTCCTGTTACTTGTGGGTTCTCGGCCTTGAGGCCGGAGGTCGACCGCGCTTCAGAAGAATACTTTCCGTAGATGCCGCAGAAGGAAACTTGCAGGTGTCCAGCAGCAGTTAAGCTCTAGGCAAGCCCAAGGCGTTCAGAACCTGGGCTCTGGTCAGAGGTTGATTGATCGTTCTGACAGTACTGAGACTATGTGGGAGGAGATGAAGAAGAGCAGGCGGCAAACATGATCACAGCTGTAAGACTGATGAATACGACAAGAGTGCTCGCAGTTTGGCCATGAGTCTGCCATGAACTAAACCTCCAACTTCAGCTCAGAAGCATGCCCTGGCTTCGAGGGCACACTGATGTCTTTCCATGCAGTGGCCAGGACAGCGATGGATGCGTCTCACTGTTCTCCGACTACATGCGGCCGCAGGGACGACAAGCAGTGTGAAACGGCTTGCATGAGCTGCTGCCTTTGCTATGAGCTCCTCCACTATACAATGTGCTATACTGCTCCTCTCCACAGTTGAGACAGAAGGAGCCCCTTTAAGACTTAGTAAGTTTGGGCACGGAGGGACAGAAGTATGTCCGAAGACTGTAGACTCTAGACCTTTCTTTCCCACTTCCGTCCGTGCCGCTTGGCTTATAAATTGGCTTAACATTGCCTCAGGCAATGTGCCATAATGACAAGTCCCCGGCACACCTGTCAGCGCAGCGTGAGGATAGGTCGGAGGGGACAAGCACTTCGGTTCTTGCGTGGCAAGGGTTTGCCAGGGTCTGTCCAAAGTTTGAGGGATTCTCGCAGCACAGCAGGCGTGCTGCTAACATGCCCAAGCCGGAAACCCGGCGTGTGTTAAGATCCCAACCTGCGCCCACGATCCCAGAATGCAAAGCAATCTTGGATCGGGGCAGGAAAGGCTTTCCCGAGCCTTTTCAAAAGGCTAAACATAGGCTCTCGGCCTCCATTGTTAACTTCAGGCACAAAATGTTTGCGTCCGTCTCACTGCACATATACCGGCCATGGTGCGCACGGGCAGCAGTGTGTTGCAAAGGCTTGTCATGCAGCGTCTACAGCTGGCGATCTGAACTCACAGAGGAAGGCAGTTAAATTACATTGGCCACACGGGTCTGTTCGAGGCGTAACTGCAGCCGCTTTACACACAACTCAACCTTCCAAGTCTCTCAGGCTTGTGCCCGCAGCTAAAACCCACAAATCTTCAGGACAATTTATACTACAATAGTAGACGGTATTCATTATATTCTATTATTGTGTAACGCGTGCCCTGCATAGCCATGGCTGTCGCATTTCTGAGCACTTCCTGCAGGCTGTCGAAGAGAGCCTTCTCGGCAGCGGCGACCGGCACCTCTCTACCCAAGTCCTGGTGCACTCACCTGCCTTGGTCACGTTTTTGTTCGATGGGGTAGGTGCTTAAAAATCTGAATGCCCTGGGTGCCAGGTATAATATCCAGGCAGACTTGCCGGTGCCTCTGGCGCCACCTTTGCATCCGGGAGAGCTGCGACCCTGTACGCCTGACGACTTTGCTCCCCTCTTCCCTGTTTCTCGGAAGCAGGGGCGCGGTAGGTTTGCAGGGTTTAACCTTCAAGGCTCAGGGTAGGTTTACAGGGTCTAGGGTTGAAGCCCAAACTCTGAACCCGCATCAGTGCTGATTGTCCTCACGGCTTTTCAGGTACTTCGCAACGGATGTCCTTAAGGGTTCCTTCAAGGGATCCGTTCCGGGTTCCTTTAAGGGATCCTTCAAGGGCGATCCTAAGACCAGCCAAGGCATCCCTCATTGAGCAGGAGGCAGGGGCCTGTCCAAGTCGGGGGTTGGTCTATCAGCCTATCGATTATGTAAATAAAGTGAAGAAGCCTACCAAACCGCTCCTAATACGTCAAAACATAGTAACATATATTACAATGCTATAAGCGTATAATAGAGTATCACTTACTTTAGTAGCTGTGGGTTCCGGTTGCGTTAAAGTGTAGGAGTATTGGCAGAAGATGAGAGCCGCAGCAAGCAGTTGGTCTCCAGGTTTCTTCGGAGAGGTACTTGGAGATCCCTGCAGAAGTGACTGGGTTCTTGTTAGGGAATTTACATATTTAAGTTACCATACTAGGGATCTATGGTGAACAATATGGTTTCCTTATAACGGTAGCTTAAATTGAGTCCCTTAACAAGAGCCCAGGTGAGGGAGGTCCTCAACCTGTGGCGTCCAACACCGTTGAGACGAGCATCCCGGTGGGAAAAGCTCCTGGGGCTACCTGGGAATGTCGCTGGGCCTTACAGTCTAGCTCCATTCTGCGGATTCCTTGTCAACTAGTATGACTTGTCGACGAAGTATGTTCCGTGTTTGTCCGGCCCAATCGAGGTCAAGATCTTTTACAAGTACGAAGGTGGGTCACCTTCCGGATCCCACAAGACCAACACGGCCGTCCCACAGGCGGAGTTTGACAAGGAAGCCTGCTGAACCAAGAAACTCAGAAAACACACGAGGAACAAGGCCTCGAAGCCAAGGCCTCATGGGAATGCCACTGCCCCCCTAAACTGGCCTAAACCCTAAACCCCAGGTCTACTACAACAAGCTGGCCGGCACAAAGAAGATAACCACAGAGACAGGAGCTGGGCAATGGGGTTCTGCATTGGCCTGGTCTGGAGGTGCCCATCATCATCGTCACCATCATAAAAGATAAACAGTAGAAGCAATAAGTGTAATGCTGCAGTGCTACTGTTTATGACAGTGCTACTGTTTATGATGTAAATCCTGCATTACCTTCAGGGCCCGAAACTATGGGAATTGTGGTATATTCCTTATTGTGGGTAAGGCAGGATTTATATCATCAACCGTAGTGCTGCTGCTAATGCTGATACTAATACGTACGAATGCTACTAATCACAATGATAATGAAAGAAAGTTACAAAACGGACACATGCTTAATGTAGGTGTTGGATGTCTCATGCTTCTCGTGTAAGGGTTATCCAGTCTTGACTTTTATTATGCTAGATGACATGACGTTGTATGATAAGGTACCCACGTACTGTATCAGAACACGTCATCATCTACCATAACATATTATGGTATATCATAGTGTGTGTCAACCCTTCAGGTCAGTTTGATTTGCCCATTGAGGTCTACCAGGTCAAGGCAGGGCCTGAGCACAAGCGGCGCGGGGGGGGGGGAGGACTTGGGAGGCTGCGCGCGCTGAAGGGTCTCAGGGGCCGTGCGCTTTGAGCAAGGTCTTATAGACAGGTTTTGGGTGTAGAGCCTTTTGAGTTTAGGGTTTTATGGGTCTTATAGACGGGTTCGGGTTTAGAGTCTTAGTTTTTGGAGCTTAGGGGCGTTATAGTCAAGTTGCCAAAACGGGAGCCTTAGCTGTCGGCCAGGTTTCCTACGAGCAGAAGCCTTACCGGAAGGCCTTCATCGAAGCCTGCGGCGCAGAGATCTTCCCATCACCGTCCACGAAGACTGCTGTGGGCAGTAAGGCCCTAGAGGAAGACCCAACGTGTCCCGGATCCTTGGGAATTGCCATCTCGGAGGCTATCGAGGCTTGTGTCTCCTCAGAAGATGCCAAGTATGCTTTGGGCTCGGTCTTATCCCACGTACTGATGCACCAGACGGTCATTGGCCAAGAGGCCATTGAGCAGCTCGCAGGCTTTGGGGAATATCCGGATGTGGTTGTTGGCTGCACCGGTGGCGGCAGCAACTTTGCAGGGATTGCTTTCCCTTTCCTTGGTGAGAAGCTGCGGTCTGAAGCTGCCAAGCCAGAAATCCGATTCCTTGCCGTGGAGCCGGCAGCGTGTCCCTCTCTCACTCGGGGAGCCTACGCCTATGACTTTGGGGATACGGCCAAGCTGACCCCACTATTGAAGGCCTCGAATGTGTAGCATGCGTTGCTGCATGTCGCAATAGTACACCAAAGGTTTTTTACCCTTGACTCTGCGTCCTTGCCACATCCATTGAAGGCTCACACGCTCGGTTCTAGCTTCATGCCCCCCTCCGTGCATTCTGGCGGACTCAGATACTTAGCGGCAAGGGAGTGCTGCTTTTGGTCCTTCCTTTAATTTACGATCTCCCCCCAAAGCCCACGCCATCAGAAAGCCCCAGAGCGAAGCATTTTACGGTTTCGGTTTAGGGGAACCTGAAACGAAACCCTCTATAAGACCCAAACCCTTCCTCCGTTCACCCCCATTTCGAGCGGAGCGGAGCCGCACTTCTTTCTTTCACGCTTGGAGACTGGACGATACTGGGTCACTGGGTTCTTGTTAAGGACTTTAGTTGTATATTACCATAGTAGGGGGATTTATTGTAAATAACATTTTTTCAATGATTATTCTCATTACTTTCCATGGCAACAGAAGTGACATTCCTCAACAAGAACCCAGGATACCATGCCATGGCGCCCCTCATCTCCCACCTGAAGGAGCTGGGCACGATTGAGGTGAGGCCGCCTAACTCGTTCCGAGGAAGGGGAAGGCTGCCTAAGCTAGGGTTGACGGTCTAGGCTGTAGGGTTCTAGAAGCCATCAAGCTGGCAACTCCCCCCCTAATTCGGACAGTTAGTTGAAAACAGTTGAGCAGATAATGATCCGCATGACCTGACTAACTTTGGACGACGTCCCGTTTTCGATTTGGTGGTGAAAACCCTTTGCTGACACTTCCCCTTTCCTGAGCAAAACTGCCCATGTGACAAGGCGCAAGCTGTGCAACAGACAGCAGCCTTTGACGCGGGATCCTCCTTCTTCCGAGCTGAGGGAATTCTGCCTGCTCCAGAAGCGACGCATGCCATTGAAGGCCTGATCGGTTGACGAAATTTCGACGCACCGCGACCCATTCTCCAAGCAGTGAAGTTTTGCCAGACTGCCTGAGTTCCCTAAACCCGACAGCTCAACGACAACATCCCAAAAAACTCGGAGCCCCAAACCCTTAAACTGCGCGCGTCCCCTTCAGGGTTAAATCCTAAACACCTGTACCCCTCAATAAACCCAAAGGCCGAGCCGAGAAAACCGGCACGAAGTGTTGTCTCGGTACGATGCCACAGAAGCATATGATTTCCGATCTTCTGACAGTATTTGTGTTGTGGCGCTGGCCTGTTGCTTCTTGTGATTCCAGCTTCTAATTCGTCCCGTGGACCGATTAGTTTGCATCGTTGCTTGACTGCGGACTTTCCTGCAAGGGGAGGGTTGTCGAAACAGGTGCTCTTCAAGAAGCAAAGGCAGCAGCTGCTGCTGGCAAGTCTCGCGTGATTCTCTTCAACATGCGGCTCGGCCAAGCTCACGGCATGAACCGACATGATTTCCAAAAGACTTTGAATAAACGCTTTGGGATAGCATGAGTTCGAATTTCAGTACACGACGGCGCGATTGACGCTATTGGTAGAAAATCCGCCGCCGCACCCGCGAGCAGAAGCCTGTGACTGCTCTCGGATATTTAGACGATTGAAAGTACTCTGCCCAGCTAATAACTATATCATTGGTATAGTATTTCGGAGTAGATTGTATATTAGAGTATTCCATAGTATATTATAGTCAAACTATAGTATATCTCTAGGGCCTAGGAGCCCATGTGTGCATAGGGGCCTTAGTGATCAGGAAAGGTTTGGGTTGGATTCTATAGTAGTCCATAGTAGGGTTATATAGGAACTTTAGAGGAACGCTATTGTCATTAAGTATTCAGAACCCTATAGTATTCAGACAGGGAACATTAAGAGTAGCGAAAATGTCAGAATGTTGTCATGCGTGCAGGGGCGCTTATACAAGAATGCACTATACTATACTGTAACACAATGTAACATCAGTCATACACAGCTAACTACAAGCTAACAAACAAGCTCCCAAGACGATACCGCAAACAGCAAAGCACACTGTAAAGCACTGTGGCTCAGTGGTCCGATGGCACTGAAAAGGCTGCCCTTTCTCAGGTGTGGTCACGGGCATTTCGACATGTTCGCCTGGGAAAAGTATGCGAAGGGGCAAATTGAAGACTTTGTCTTCCCGGAGGAACAACTGAAGGAAGCACTGAAGCACGTTCCTGGACTGAACGGCGTGAACTTTCCGCAGCCGCCGTGAAGCTTATCGCCATCATGATGATGTTCCTCTTCTCAGACTGGCCGGAAGCTGCTTGCACGGGTTAAGGTTTAGGCTTTAAGACGGTTCAGGCAGTGTAGGCATTAGGGATGAGGAGGGTCTCTGCTGGCGCAGTACGACTGGCCCCCGCACGTCACCTGATTGCCGACTTTGAAAAAACCTTGTGGCTTGTTCGGGCCTTGCAGATTGAAATTACTGAATGTCCCAGGGTGCAAGCCGAAGCACCTGTCGCTCTGAATCATTTTCGAGTGCCGGTTTCCTTTGGCTGCACTACGACCACATTTCAAGAAACAGTTTTCAAGCTTCTGAAGTAGGCACGACTTAGTGGCTCGGCTAAACCCTCGAATCATGGGGCTATTTGCATGCTGGCGGAGCCCTTGCAGACTGCTTGCAAGTCGGACGTGTCGGTCTCAATCTGTTCTATGAATCGTTGAATCTTTTTTTCGGGCCGTTGTGCCACATACTACCTTCATCCTGTGTTAGTTGACCCCGCAGCTGATGACGAGGACCACAGTGATGATACTAAAGTTATTATTTTGTTGACCTGACCACTACTGGACGCTTAAAGCCAACAAAGGGCCATGGGGCTCGCACTCCACTGGATGAAGGGCTGAACCGAGGCCGCGGACGCGCGGTGGAGCTGGATCCACAGCACTGCAAAAACGGGCCCGGGCACAAGGCCGCTCTCGCGAGAGGACCGTCGACGCCTCGCCGCTTCAAACTTACACATCTTGGAGCTTGCTGCACGAGATGCCAAACAAACCCTCTGCCGCGCCCTCAGGGATGCACGGAGAGGACATACGTTGAACCAGTCCCTTAAGTCATGAGTGTAACGGTTCGGTTCGGTTCGGTTGCGGNNTGCGGTTTTGAAACAGCGGTTCAGGTACATGCGGTTCGATTTCTCCGGCGGTTCCTGCGGTTCGGTTCGCGGTTTCTGACCGTTCCTAAGTTTCATAAACCCTGAACAAAGCATCTGCCCGTACACACATCCCAGATGGCGGCGTTGCCGCCATGTCTACCACCGCCGCTGCTTTTTGTCTACTGCTACTTAAGACCACCATACATTATACTACCACCATTCAAGCGGGCTGCCGGCGGGCAGCCCCGGCCGGTAGAGCTCGACGCGGGGGAGTCCAGTTTTTGGGCCTTAAGTCGACCGGAATCCTGGATTCCCCCGCACGGCCGGTCCAGGATTTCGCAGTTTTGGGCCTTAAGTTGACCGGAATGGATTCCCCCGCACGGCCGCGCGGAGAGTCCAGGGTTTCATTTTTGGGTGTTAAGTTACGGTGACCGGAATTCTGGACTCCCCCATCTAGTAGGTCGAACTCCCCCGCGCGGCCGGTCGGTCAGGCCGGTCAATGCTTTTTGGGGAATTGTGGACTTTTCCGCGCGTCCGGCCAGTGAGGCCGGACGCGGGGCAGCTTTTGGGCATAAGTCGGCATGGCGCTTTTGGACTTTAAGTTGGCCGGAATACTTTTAAGTTGGCCGGAATAAGGGTTTTGCGCGGTTGTGCCGAAATCCTGGACTCCCGCGCGGCCGGCCGATGAGGCCGGACGTGGGGGACCTTTCTAAGTCGGCCGTAATCTTGGACTCCCATGTGGCCGGTCGGTCGCTGGATCCGGAGGGGTCCAGGGTTTCGGACGGCCTCAAGTCGGCTGGAATCCTGCAGACTCCTCTGGGGCCTGACGCGGGGAAAAGTCCAGGTTTCGCGCTCTTTGGCCTTAATTCGGCCGTAATCCTGGAGTCCGCGCGGCTGGTCGGCCGGACGAAGCGGAGTCAGAGCCAGGTTTTGGCGCTTTTGGGCCATAATTCGGCCGGGACTTCCCCGCGTGGGGCCGGACGCGGAGTCCCCCGGATGCTTTTGATGCGACTAATCCCTTACCACTAACATTAAACCCTCTTAATATACAAACAGCCGCCCTCGGAATTTTGCGAATTCGAGCATACAGTTGAAGGGCGCTAGGGATTCTATGAGGTTTAATAGAGCCAAGATTATAATAGCACTAATCCGAAAGGACCGAGGCTGTAGGGCTTAGGGCTCAGGGATTAGAGTGTTTAGGGTTTAAGTAGTGAAGGCTCTAGGGCGAGGTCTGCCCAAACGAATTAGGCTGACTGTCTGCTACTACAGCCGGAATGACTGTGTGCTTACTTCTGTCGAAAACCCCCCTAATATAAAAACTGAATCGCCGGATTTCAGTATTTATATTAAGGGGGAGGGCCTTTAATATTAGGGGGAAGGAATTAAGCCCCCTTCCAACAGGCCTTGTATGCTCTCGATGCTGGATTTAGAATAATTTGGAATATCGTTGTTCAGCCAGATCTAAGTACTTTTCCGGCTTGTAAATAACTGACAGAAAAATGGATTCCCTCGCATGTAGAGGAATAAAAGGTTCCATGCTTCTAACCAGGCAAGCAAAGGCAACTCAAACAAAATTAGGATGCTATGGATACTCGATTTTAGAATACGGATTTAACCTGCCCAAGGATCCCATACGCCGGATGCCTTCGATGCTGGATTTAGAATGCTCTCGTTCAACTAGATCCCAATATATTTCCGGCCCATAAATGACAGAAGAATGGATTCCTACGCAGAAGGCCAGAAGCTTCCATGCCTCCAACAAAGTAAGTTGGGAACCGACTTGACGGTTCGGCAGGTTCGCGGTTCCTGAGGAATCGGTTCCGGTTCCGTGGTGCCGGTTGGGTTCCTTACCTTTCATATTAAGTCCAACGTCAAGATTGCTGAAGTCTTCGGAATTTGCACGTGCGTCTACGTGAATACAACATGATGATGCGTGGCGAAGATTGCCATCACCTCGAGCCATTACGTCAACTGCGCCCGGCTGCTTTTCACTCACGGAAAACCGGTCACTCCTTGCTTTTCCTTGCAAACGAAGCCAGCAGCGGTTTACTTGCAAGTTGCAAACCCACGGCTCTGACACTCGTCGCGCCTGGCTGTTGGTGACCTCTAGTCCGTCCCCGACTGCGTTCCGACAACGTGTGGATGATGGTGATGGTGGCAACGATACTGATTATGATGATGCTAAAGACGATGATGATGATATAAAGTATCACGGTCATATTGAACGGCAACAAATAATATTTCGACAATGATATTAATTGAATTACTATATGCAAATTAAAAGGATTCTGGGTTCTATATAATAAGAATGGCCTTTAGATTCGATGGTAATTATTGTGTATATATATATTCTCTAATAAAACG